ACCCCTCACCAGCCTCGGAACATTTAAATTACATTTTTAAAAAAAACATTAAAACCCCCCAAATTGTGCGCACAGGGTTTCTATTTCACAAAAAAAAAAAAAAAAAAAGAAAAAAAAAGAAATTTTTTTTTGCTTTTTAACTCTCCCTTCTGCCCCCGCCAAGCCCGCTCCAGAGAGGAAAACCACCAAAGAAGGGGGGAAAACCTCCCAAAAAAGAGAATCCCAGGCGCTGCCCAGCTCGCAGCTGGCTCCAACCCAACCCGCTGTTTATCCTGCTTTCTAACTAAACACAACATGAAGGCAGCAGCGGGTGAGTCCTGGGGGATGTGGCACCCCCAGACACGGCATCTGGGGATGCCCATGCTCCCAGCGGGCACGTGAGAGCCCCAGATGCCAAGGCCACAGGCTGTGGAGTGCAGGGGTGGCACACGGGGGACTCGAGGACGGGGCTGGGATCCACCCGCTGCCCCCAGGAGTGGAGCTGCAGGCTGGTGGCACTGGGAAGCCGGTGCCAGCGCGGGGGATGAGTCCGGGAAACGTTCCAAAACCCAAACGAACAAAACTGGGATGGCAGAAGAACGGAACCATCCGTCAGCACGGAGCAGGCAGCAGCTGGTGGTGACCCGGTGATGGCAGAGCTTCTGGTGCCCTTGAGGTGTTCAGAGCCCCACGAGGACATGGTGGTTGGAGCTCCTGGAGGTGGTTGGAGCTCCTGGAGGTGGTTGGAGCTCCCAGCATCTCCCTTATTTCCGACAGGTCCGGTGTGGTGTCTGCTTCTTCTGCACCTCCAGCCGGCAGCGGCTGCGCTCGTCCAGCCAGGGCAGCTCAAAATTCCTGTGGGCACAGCTGGTGTCACCTCAGCACCATCCAGACCCAAAATGGGCAAGGTGCCCGCTCCACAGACTCCCCAGCCCCGTCCCCTCCCGCCCCCCAGTACTCACTGTGGGGTCAGTTTGGGCAAGGGCCGGCCAAAGGCGACGACAGGCAGGTAAGGGGTGATGAGCAAACTTTCCACTGTGGGGAGACAGCAGAGTGTGTGAGACCCCTCATCTGTACCCCCACCCGCCCGACACCCCCTTCCCAAGCCTCACCATCATCTGGCTCAGGGAAAAATGAGGTAACTTCAGGTTCTGACTCCTGAATCCCTTTCCTTTTGTACATTCGGAGCTGCAGCCGCTGTAGGATTCTCTGTTCCCTGATCCGCTGGATGTCCCACCTGGAAAACAGGATGGATGGGAAAGTGAGGAGCCACGGGCAGTGCCAGACTCGCCCAAGGTGATCACGGCTGCCAGTGATGTGAGAGCATCCCTCCTCCAGGGGGGGATCCTCCTCCCTCCTCCATCCCATCCTCCTCCTGCAGCATTGCTGGTGCCCATCCCAGCTGCACCCTGCCCTGCCCCCTGCTCCAGGTGACAGCCCAGGACCCTCCCCTGTGAGACTGGGACTGCAGACCCCCATTGCTCCAACCTTTTCCTTCGTTTCTCATCCAGCTCCAGCTTTGCGTGCCGTTTGGAAAAGACGCTGTCGTCCAGGTTCTGCAATGACACCAGAGAGGGATCAGTGCACCATCCTGGGGCCAGATCCCCCACCTCAGCCTCCCAACCACAGAGGGGGTTTATGCTGGATGAGGGGATGAGATGCCACCAGCTCTGGGAGCGTGGGACAGCCTGGAAAGCCCCTGTGGCACTGCCAGCTCCAATGGCTCACGTACCTCCAGGAGGTCTGAAGGGTTGGGGTCTCTCAGGGGCTCCACGACATGGTCCCTCCAAGATGGAACTGCAGCACAAGGAGAAGGGTGTTACCCCACAGCAGAATCCCCACAGGAGCCCCTGCTCCATCCCACCACCTCCCCACTCCCTTCCTGCCCATCCTTCCCCTTGGAGAACAGCTTGGCGTGCCCCAAAGCCCCGTCCTGAGCCGGCAGTGGGAGCTGCCACGGGACAGCAGAGCTCATCTCCACCCCCTCGACCGAGCACACAAGCAAACCTGAGCCACTCCCAGGGATGTGCCAGGCTCTGTCTGAGCCACCTGGCACAGCCCAGCTCCAATCACTGGCACCAACTGGGCTCAAGGCAGGACAAGGATGGATTTGGGGACAGCAGGAGAACCCGCTGCTGTGTCACCATGGCATGAGCCAGAGACACGTTTCCCACCCACAGGAAGCTGCTCCAACAGACAGCAGCCAGAGCAGGGTGAACCCAAGATGAGATTTGGGAGAGCCCAGAGCCAGCACCCACCGCAGTGGAAGGAGCCAGCAGCATGGCACCTTTCCCAGTGCCACAGGCACTCCCTTTGGGAATGTGGGAGCCTTTTCCCAGATTCAGAAGGAGGGTGCCGAGCCCTGCTCCCAGGCTGGCTCAGCCCAGCAGCTTCTCCATCACTCTCTCCACCCTTACTTGCTACAGTCTCCTCCTTTTTGGGGGAAGGCTCCCGCAGCGGCAGCGGCGACGGGGGCGGCTGGTGCCAGCGGCACAGGTACATTTCTGTGGTGGACAGGTAGGGCAGGTCGTCGGCCTCGCTGACAAATCCTTTCTCCTTGGGATGGGTGCCAGGACCCTTGGGTGGGGCTGATGCTCTCAGAGGGGTCTCCAGGAGCGCCCGGGGTTTTTCCGGAGTCTCTTGGCTCCGCAGTTCTCGTTTACAAACAGTTTCAGCCAAGGAGCCGCCCGATTCCTCCTTCCCCGGGGAGTGTTTTGGAGTTTTACTCTTCACTTTGGAGAATTCTGACACTAGTTTTTTAACAGGCGTCTTCCTCTCTGTGCTCCCAAATGTTGGCTTCCTGCAGGAGGAAGAAGAGCTGAGCCAGGCACATGGATCCTCACCCTGCTCCAGGGATGCTGTGGGGGGCTCCTGGTACCCCCAAACCAGGGCTGCTGCACCAGGGCCAGACTTGAGCAGTTTACAGAGGGGCTTCCCCAGCATTTTGGCACCCTGCACTCCCCACACAGGCTTTCCTGAGGTTCTCCTCGACACAGCGATGTGTTCCTGGTGCTGAGTGGCCCTCTCAAAGGCTGCTGGGCAGTGCCAGCCCCTCAAACAGACGGTGAAGCCACAGGGAGTGTCCCCCCTTCTCCCCACACAGCCCCCCCATGCACTCTGTACCTTTTATGCCCCTTCCCGTTCCTGCCATAGGGGAAGTGCTTGGGCTGCAGGGTCGGGGGAGGCTCCAGCAGGTCCTGGGGACACTCCAGAGGCAGCTTCTCACATGCCTCTGCCTCAGGCTTCTCATCCACCTCAAAGCCCTGGAAGATGCGGTGCTTCTCCCGCTCGCTGTCCTTCTTCACCAGCTGCACCCGCCTTTCCATGCGCTCGATCCGCGCCAGGAGCTGCAAGGCAGGTGAGGAAGGGCTCACCTGGGGCTGGGGTCACCCCCGTGGGCACCCCGGGGCAGCTGCCACTGGATGTCTGATGGCACAAAATGGCCACTCTCTGTCTGCTCCTCCTGCTCCAGCTGCAGACCTCAGTTTGAGGGGGGATTTCATCAAATCAAAGAATCCAGGAATGGTTTGGGTTGGAATGCACCTTAAAGCCCAGTCCCTTACCCTACCATGGGCAGGGACATCTTCCACTATCCCAGGTTGTTCCAAACCCTGTCCAACCCAGCCCTGAATACTTCCAGAGATGGGGCAGCAGAAACCAGAGGATTTGGGGGGGGGTCACACCCTCTGTGTATCCTCCCCATGATGCAGGATGGAGGGGCAGGTTGGAATTAAAAAGCTTCCATTTAAGCTTGTGGACTCAAAAAGCAGCTGGTGACCCCTGCCCATGGTCACCTGCCCCCAGCCATCCCCAGCCAGGGTCTGCACTGGTTTTGGACAGCAGACTGGGGGGGTCCCAACACTCCCCAAAGGTGTGGCTGTGGGGGGACCCAGCTCTGGGAGCACAGCCCAGTGCACGCAGGGTGTGGCAGTCCCATGTCCCCAGCAGGGTCACCCCGGGAGGCTGTGCCCAGGGGCAGCCCCTCAAGCGCCATCAGGGGCTTGCCGCAGTGGCTCCTCCATGTCGGGGGACGCGGCATCGCCTGCGGTGACATCACGTGGGGTGTCCCCGTCCTTCCTGCCACAAACGGGGCCACCACTGCTGACACCGCCACTGCAGCTGGGCATGGCCACCGCCGCTGATGGCACACGGCCACAGGGCTGGCAGGGGGGTGACCCATGGCTGTGGGGGCGACACTCAGCATCCGTGGGGTGACACAACACCCATGGGGGGGACAACACAGGCAGGGCAATGTTGGGGGGGGGGGGGCCATACATGTAGGCTACCTATAGTGGGGACACACATGGCATCTCTGGGGTGACACACACAGGACACACGTGGTGGGGGGGGTGGGGGGAAGGAAGAGCACAGCTCAGCTGCGGTGACCCCACAGTGTCCCCCTAAAGCCTAGCAGCCTCTCATGGCTGTGAGTGCCCCCAAATCCCCGGGGGGGTGGCGGGTGCAGCGAGCTGTCCCCAGCAGCAGGGCGACATCCCTTGCGGCCGTGTCCCGCCCGGCGGTGCCGCGGCCCCTTTAAGGCCCCCCCCCGGCACGGTCCCCACGGTAACGGGCGGCGGCCCCGTTAACCCCCGCCCCGCCCCCGCCCTTTGTGCCCCCGCCGCTTTGTCTGGGGGGGGGGCTGCGACCCCCGGGGGCACCCGCGACCCCCGAGGGGGAGCCCAGCCCTGCGGCTGGCTGAGACCTCCGGGGTGGGGAGGGGGCTCACCCTGCGGGAGGGGCGGGCGGAATTGCGCCTGCGGAGGGTTTAACCCTTTGGGGAGGGGGGCATTAACCCCCCCGGAGGGTTCTGTACCCCCCTCCCCCCGGTACTAGATGCCCCCAGTGAGGGAATTCTCAAAGAGGGGGGGATTAACCCCTGCAGTGCCACGGGGGGAGAACAGTAACACACAAGGGGGGGGGCATTAACCCCTGGGGTGCCAGCGGCGGTGGTGAACCCCCAAAGGGAGGCACGTTAACCCCCAAGGGGCCTCCCCCCAGCCCCAGAAGTGTAAGGCCCCATGTGGGGCATTAACAGCCAAGGGGGGGGGGATTAACCCCTGGGGTGCCACGGGGGGAGCAGGTTAACTGCCATGGGGGGCACATCAACTCCCCAGGGGGTGCACTAAACCCTAGGGTGACACGGCGGTTGGACGTTAACCCCTATGGGGGGGACATTAACCCCCCCAAAAAAAGGGGGGATTAACCATCGAGGGGTGCAGAATTAACCCTCAAATAGGGGGGGCATTAACCCCCAAAGAGGGGTCGACATTAACCCTCAAGGGGATGGAATTAAGCCCCAAAAAGAGGTGGAATTAACCCCCAGAAAGTGGGAGGTGGGGAGGCATTAACCCCAAAGAGGGGCACAGAATTAACCCTCAGAGGTGGGGGGCATTAACTGCCATGGAGTGCAAAATTAATCCCCAATGAAGTGGTGCAATTAACCCCCAAAGAAGGGGGCACATTAACCCCCAAAAAGGGCATTGAACCAACCCCCAAAAGAGAGGTGAAATCAACCCCCAAAAAGGGGGGTATTACCCCAGCAAGGGGGTTATTAACCCCAGCAAGGGGGGTAAATTAAGCATTGAGGGGACGGAATTCAAAAAAAAGAGAAGTGAAACCAACCTCCAAAGAGTGGGGTATCAACCTCCAAAGACAGGGGTATTAACCCCCAAAAATGGGGGGAGCATTAACCCCTTGGGTGTCACAGGGAGTGAGAACTTTCCTGTTGGTGGGCAGAATTCCACCACAACCCCAGGGACCCCTGGGTGGTGTTGGGGAGCCATTAACCCTAAGGGGAGGGGGCATCACTCTACGGGAGGGCTGTTAAAGCTGGGGGGGGGGTTAAATCTAGTGGGGATCACCCCATAGTGGGGGGTCTCCCCATAGGAGGGTGTTAAGCCTAGGGGTGGTTAACCTTAAGGTGGGGGTCACCCCATGGGGGGGGGGGGTCACCCCATGGGGGGGGGGGAGGGCTAAACCTGAGGGAGGTTAAACCTAAGGGGGAGTTAACCCTGAGGGAAGGGGGGTCACCCTGAGGGGGGGGGTCACCCCACAGTCAGTGGGTTAAATTTGGTGGGGGTTAAACCCAAGGAGGAGTTAACCTTGGCGGGAGTTAACCCCTTCCACGCCGCATTCCCGCCCACCTCCCCGGTGGTCGCGACACGCGGACACGCGTGAGGCGGGGGTCCCGCGCCGCAGTACCGGGGGCGGCCGCTCGGGGGCCCCCGAGAGTGGCGGTACCGGCTCTCCGCGCCCGCCCCACGGAGCGGGGGGGGCTCGGGTCACCGGCCGGTCCCGTGGCGGGAGGGGACACGGAGGGGCGGGGGGACGACACAAAGGGACAGGCCGCTACCAGCCCCCCACGCGGGGAGGGCCGGGGGGGGGTTGTGATTGTGGGGGTCCGCACCTCCCCATAGGCGCACTCCCCCCCACGGGAGCTGAACCCCCCCATGGGGACTGAACCCCCCCCGTGCACACTCAGAGCTCTGCAGTTCCTGCTGGACGCGTGCAAGAACGCGCACACACACACACACAAGTCCGCAGCACCCCCTCTGCAGAGGCTGCACACTCGTCGGTACACGGACACGCGTGTCCCCCTGCAGGGAGCGACTGCAGCCCCCGCTGCAGCACAGGCGCAGCCCGCAGACACTGCAGCCCATGCACAGCACCCCCGACTGCAGTCCCGGAGCACACTCGTGCACACTCATGCACATGTATGCGCACACACACAGCCTCACGGCACACGTATGGACGCGTACGGGCAGGCACGGACATGTATGTACATGTACACACACACACACGGAGGATCATTTCCCCTTCTCCCGCCTGAAACTCCACCCCCCGCAGCACACGGGGCCGTGTCACCGGGGACACACAGGGGACACGCGTGGCACGTGCTGGGGACGCACAGGGGACACGTGGGGGACGTGCCTCTCCCTGCAGAGCTGCGTTCAGGGACACACAAACACACGCGGGGGGAGATCCCCCTTCACCCAGCCCCCTGCGAGCGGCAGGGTGCCCCTGGTCCTGGTGCCCGGGTCACGGTGGCGGTGCCACCCCCACGGTGTGGCACTGGGGAAGCCCCTCCGAGGTTCCTGCTGTGCCATGGGTCACATCAAGCCCTGCCAGCAGCTGTCCCCACCGGCGTGTGCACACGTGTGGGTGTTGTTCAGACACGGGGGGGGCTGTGTTTGTCCCCCCCATGTGATTGTGCACATCAACACATGTGGCTGTGGTCATGCACAGGCGTGGCAGTGCTTGTCCCCCTGCATGGCTGTGCTCACACACACACACACATCTGTGTTTACACATGTCCTTGTCCCCCTGCATGGCTCACACACACACACACACACACACACACACACACATCTGTGTTTACACATGTGCTTGTCCCCCTGCATGGCTCACACACACACACACATCTGTGTTTACACGTGTGCTTGTCCCCCTGCATGACTCACACACTCACACACACACACACACATCTGTGCTTACACACGTGTGTGGCCATTCTCACACATACAGAGCCATGGTTGCACACGTGGTGGTCACTTTCACACACACACACATGGCTGTTCTCATCTTCATCACCTGGCTGTACACACGTGTGGCTGTGCTCACACACACGTGACTGTGTTGATACACAGAGCCATGTTCACACACGTGTGACCATGCTGACATACACAGAGCCATGTTCACAGACACAGAGCCATGTTCACACACGTGACCACGCTGACACACGACAGTGCTCACACACAGAGCTATGTCTGCACACACACACGTGGTCATGTTCACACACATTACCATGTTCACACACATGACAGTACTCACACACAGAGCCAAGTTCACACACACAGAGCCATGTCCACACACATACACGGTCATATTCACACACGTGTGACCATGTTCACACACATGACTGTGCTCAAACACACAGAGCCGTGTTCACACACACAGAGCCATATTCACACACATGACAGTGCTCACACACACACAGAACCATGTTCACAGACACACACATATGACTGTGTTCACACACGACAGTGCTCAAACACACAGAACCATGTTCACACACAGAGCCATGTTCACACACACAGAGCCATGTTCACAGACACACACACACACGACCATGTTCACACACATGCCAGTGCTCAAACACACACAGAGCCATGTTTACACACAGAGAGCCATGTTCACACACACAGAGCCATGTTCACAGACACACACACACACGACCATGTTCACACAGATGCCAGTGCTCAAACACACAGAGGCATGTTCGCACACACAGAGCCATGTTCACAGACACACACACACACGACCATATTCACACACATGCCGGTGCTCAAACACACACAGAGAGCCATGTTCACACACGTCTGGCTGTGCTCACACACACACACACACACACACAAGTCCGTATCCGCACACACGGGGGGTGCCGTGTCCCCACGGTGCCGGTGCCGGTGCCGGTGCCGGTGCCGGTGCCGGTGCCGGTGCCGGTGCCGGTGCCGGTGCCGGTGCCATCCCCGCTGCGGCAGGCCCACGTGCCGGCCGGCGCCCGCCCGCACATGGCTCTGCAGCAGGGAGGCTGCTGGGGCTAAAAATGGAGCAGGGCGCACATGCCAGCGCCACGTGACGCGCATGGAGAGGGCTCCCCGCGAGAGGAGGAGGAGGAGGAGGAAGAGGAGGAGGAGGAGGAGGGAGCCCGCTCACATGGGCTGGCACAGATGCCAACCCGGCCGCTGGCCACGACTCCGTGGCCTCTCTGTGACCTGTGGGTTGGGGGAAGGGGGGGGGGGGTCTAATGGGGTGGCCCCCTCCCCACTTCCTCACACATTTGACTTTTGGGAAGGTCAAACGCGGGGTGACGGCGGAACGGGAAAGGGGAGGAGGGTTCCCAGGTGGTGGGTCTGAGGTGGGGGATCTGGAGGCTGAAGGAGTTCCCGGTGCTGTCCCGCCCCCTACCCCCCCTTCGCCCCCTCCCCCGTGGGGTCCCAAGGCTGCCGAGGGAACACAAACATCAGCACGTGGGATCTTGGGGGGTGGGGGCAGGTGAGAGGGATCCCCACGTGCCATGGCTACTCCCCAAACCCCCCCCCCACATTATGAACATATTGGGGTCCCCCCACCTCCAGGGGTCCTGCACCCCTTTTGCACCCCCATGTGACAGTATCACCCCAATTTCTGGGCCCCCGAAGCCTCCTGGGGTCCTGACACTCCCAAATGCACCTTTCCTATGGCTCTGCGCCCCTGAATCCTCCTGGGGTCCCTGCACCCCCTGATCCTGCATTCCTTTGGGGTCCCTGTAGCCTCCCGGGGTTCATTGATCCCTAAATCCCACACGTCCATGAATCTGTGCACTCCTGCTCCCCCCAATCCTGCACCCTCCTGGGGGGTCCCTGTATCCCCAAACCCTGCCCCCCCAGACCCTGCACTTCCTGGGGTCTCTGCACCCCAACACGGGTCTGCCCCATTCCGCAGTGCCAGGACACCACGGGGTGTCCCCGCCTGTCTCGGGGTGCCCCCACCTGCCGTGGGGTGCCCCGCCCGGGGCCAGGAATGCCTTGTTTACCCGATTTTTCCCGTTCCCGGGGAGGGAGGACTATTCTGGCAGCGGGAGCTGCTGCCCCAGCCAAGAGCCGGGGGCCGAGCCAGGGCTGCTCCCTGCAGGAAAACACCCCCAAAGCACCCCAAACCCCAACCCTCCAAGCACTCTCCTGGCCCCACAGCAGCACTGGGGGTCCTGCCCCACTCTTCCCCCACCAGTGCTGTCAGTGGGGACAGATGAAAGGGGGGTCAGGGCTGCAGGACCCCCAAATTGGGTGGCACCCAGCGCCTTTGGTTGTCCCCCAAAGCACAGTTACGGGTGGAGAGGTTCGATGCGTGTAGGGTGACACGGGGACACAGCCAGACCCGGTGTCCCCAAACCCGGTGTCCCCCAGCCCCACGGTGGGTCTGGGGGTGTTCAGGTGGGGCTGGGGGTGCAGGGCTGGGGGTCCTGTCCCGTGTCAGCCCCCGGTGTCCAGCCTGGGGGCCGAGGGGGGGATGTGCAAGAGAGAACCCCCGCTCCCGGCGGAGACACCCCCCCCCACCCCCCCTTTTCCTGGAAAAGGTTCAACAAGGTAAACAAGGCTCCAGCCCCGAGTAAAAATAAACCCTCGGCACGCAGGCGCCGGCCGGGAAGCGGGGCGAGCGTCACGCGGCACTGCCACGGCACCGGCACCGGCACCGGGCACCGAGCACCGGGCGCCGGGCACCGGGCAGCGGGCACCGGGCAGCGGCCCCACCGCCCCTCCGCTGCCTCCTGCCCCGGGAGCAGTGACAGGGGAGAGAAATGCGGACTGCATCCCCCGTGAAGTTGGGGGGGTGCAGGGGGTGCACCTGGGGGTGTACGGCATGGCAAGGGCAGGGATGGGGTGACATGTGTGTTCCCCGGCACTCCGGGCACCCCACGGCGGGTGGGGGTACCCCACGGGGTCCCGGCACGATGGAAGGGGGCGGACCTGGGTTGAGGGGTAGAGACCCCGGGAGGTGCAGGATCTGGGGGTGCAGGATACATGGGGACAGGATCTGGGGGTGCAGGGCCCCCAGGAAAGTACAGGGATGCAGAGTTTGGGGGTGCAGGAGTGCAGGGCTGCACAGATTCGTGGAAGTGAAGGGTTTAGAAGTGAATCTAGTGGCATGTGACAACCTTGAGGAGCGTTCAGGTGCCCCCTCCGTGCCATGGAGTCGTTGGCACGGGCACTGCCATGACGGGGTGCACAGGGAGCCGAGGGAAGCCCCCCGAGGCATAGACCCGGCCTCTGGGGGCGTTCCCGGCTCACGTCAGCGGCAGTACCCCCCTGTCCCCGTGACTTTGGTGGCCCCTCTCCCTCACTCTGCTCCCCATGGGTGGTCCCAGAGTCGGGATATCCCGGAAATATCCCAGCTGTGCCCAGCCGGGGGTCCCTGCTCACAGCACCTTCACCAGGACCCCCCGTGCCGGGTTCCCAGCCTCACGGCTGGACCCCACAGAGAGACCCCAAGAGATTTGTCCCGTTCCTCCCCGCCCCGCTCCGGTCCCGGGGATTCCTGGGGGATCAGGGTTTCGGGCGAGCATCACAGGCACCGTGTGCCGCAGCGCCGTGCGCGGCGATGTTTTCCCAATCCAGACGTGCGGCTGAGTCACGGATAATCACCGGGAACGTGCCGGGAGGGGAACGAGGAGCTGCGGGGGCCGGGGACACCTGCACGGTCCGGGCACGGCCCTGCGGGCAGGCGGGTCCCTTCTCCCCGGGACCGGCGTCCCCTCCGGGTCCCCCGTTCCCGTGCCAGCCTGGCCCCACACATCCTTCCGGGAGCTGCCGCGGTTCTCCCGGCCGGAGGTGCCACGGCACCGTGCAACCGCCCCGTGACTCAGGGCAAGGGCACGTCCTGTGGGTGTCGGGGTGTTCCCACCGCCCCAATGCCTTGGGGAGCCCCAAAATCCCGGACCACCCCCAGCAAGCCCCGGACGCCGCCAGCTGAGGGTGGTCTCGTCGCCCATGGGGTTCTAGGGGGTCTTTGGGGTGCAGAGCTCTGGTGTCCCTCCCCGGGTACTTCGCACAGCCGGGACACCGGAGGCCTCCCCTGCTGCGGGATTAGCTCCGAGGATTTCCCTGCGCTGGCATATCCCTGCTCTGCTCCTTCTCCTCCTGGCTGGGGGCCAGGGCAGCGCCCGGCACATGGCACCCGGGAGGGTGCTGGCACCCCCAAAACCTTCCCCGCGGCGGGAGCAGGAGCACCCACGGAGCGCCCGGTGCCACCGGGCTGGGCTGGCCCCGGCCGGCGCCGCGACCCAGATCTGCCACCAACTCTGCCCTGGCACGGCGTTGCCGCAGCCCCCGCGGCTGTCAGGAGTGGGGCCAGGCTGGGACGTGGATGCCAGGCACGTGCCACAGCGGGCACCCGCCGTGGGCAGCGTGGGGACAGCAGGGGACAGCATCGGGAGGGGACAGCGGGCAGGGGGGCAGCCGTACCGGGGGCTGCACCATGCACAGGTGCCCCGGGAGTGGGGGGGCTGCGGTGCTGGAGACGAGCAGGTGGGCACAGGAGATGGTGCCATGTGGGGTGACAGGGATAGCTGAGTGTCCCCAGTGCAGGGGACAGTGCCACGCGGGGTTACTGGGGTACCTGGGTGTCTCCAGGACAGTGGACTGCGCTTTGAGGGGTGACAGAGGTAGCTGGGTGTCCCCAGTGCTGTGCGGGGTGGCACCGCTGCCCAGGTATGCCCAGGGGAAGGTGCCACGCAGAGTGACAGTGCTGTGCCTGGATATCCCCGCTGCAGGGGACAGCCAGTGGCGCGGTCAGGTGTTCCCAGTGCAGGTGACAGCGCTGTGCAAGGTGACAGCGCTGCCAGTGCGGTGACTGGGGGTCCCCAGCGCGGGGGATAGCGTCGTGCCAGGTGACAGATGTGTCAAGTGCTGCACCCGAGTGTCCGCAGTGCAGGGGACACTGCTGCGCCCGGGGGTCCCCAGTGCAGGGACCGTGCTGTGCTGCCTGACGGGACACCCCGTGTCCCCGTGTCCCCGGTGCAGGTACCGGTCCCCGCGGTCCGTCAGGCGGCCCCGGTGCGGGGGTCCCCGCCGAGCCCGGGCTCCCCAGCGGCGGCGCGGGGCCGGGGCCGCCGGCGGAAAGTGTGTCACTGGGGCACGAGGCTGTCCCCGGGAATCACATGGGGGAGGCGGCGGCGCCGCGTGCGGCCCAGTGCGCAGCCGCGGCCGGTGCGGGGGGCGGCGGGGCGGGCGGCGG